AATTTAGCATAGAACACACTATGTTAAATGATTCACCCGTGGAATTTAAAACCCACTGAATATGCCTGAAATACTAAATCAGCAAAATTTAAACCTAATGAAAATTAATCATTTTACAGTACTACCGGGCATGTATTACCACCATATCGATCTGACACTGCCATAATGATTTATTTCGATTTATTGTGTGCGTGTTCTGATGAGTCAATTAATATAATTTCTGTTTGGAATTACCATATTACTACCATATATGGAAATATACAATATTCTGGCATACTGAAAGTGTACAGTTTTGTTAGTACAAGCAAGCCAAATGGCTAATCAGTGAAATCCACTTGTTTCAAGCCATTCGAATTTTAATAGCAAGAGGGAAAAACTGCCTATATTTATACACTATATTTAAATAGGTAGGGGAAGCACTGTTCATATTTCATGAACATCCGATTTTATATCAGTCTGATCTAGTGAAGGAAGGAAACTTCCTCTCCAGTTATTTTGTATTGCAATTAAAAAGCTCACTATCCCAACTATTCAGAAAATACAACATCAGAAATATTTAACCTAATATAACTTAGAATTTTCAAAAAATATACTGATGATCTAGGAAAAGCATATTTTTATCAAAAAATGAGAATTAGAATACAGAAATAGAGAAACATATTATCTTGTTTAATTATAATTAAGCCATCACCACCGATAACTATCCGTATTTTTTAAGTAATTGACAGTGACTAACAAGTCTGTCTGTCTGACTGGAAGCAGTCCTTCTAATTAGTTTGTTTTTACTTTGTTTTACTGTCACTGCTTTATTAGGAACCTCAGTAGCTATAAATAGCCACAAAATTATTGGCACGCAGCCAGATAGTATTAACTTGTTTACAATAACATGGTGAAATTGCTGAAATATAAATACCCCGGTATATCAGATTCATAGCTCCACAAGAATATGAAAGACAACTTAAATAATAAATTGTATTGAGATACATTTCCGATGAAATTTTTTGACAAATTCAGTCTTGCCTTCAGCAGTCACGTTTTGTTGAACACTCACGAACAATACCGATATAAGCATTTTTGAGTATCTGAAACTGATCCAAGGCAGTCTGTGACCAAAGCCTATCTAAACATGATACGTACCAACTCCGGTTGAGTTCAGCCATCCATAAGTAGCAAACAATAAAGAGTTTGTGAATACAAATTTTTCAGTAAATAAAATTTGTTTTTAAAATTACTTTTTGGAATGATTTTTCGCTATTTTCTCAGTGTGATTCCCACTCGTCATCAAGAAAAATAAAATTTAAACAACTACACGGCTATAAAAACTTAAAAATATTATTTTATGCTAGTATAATGTGCAGGGTTCTTCCCAGGGCATTACAGAGTCAATTTAGCACAACAATGAATACAAGTTGTAAGTAACACACCCTATTGTTATGCAAATTAATCAATATTCTATGCTATTTTTCTGGGGAGAACACTTATATCAATACACATGTACATATATAGAAAAAAAATTCCATATATGGGATTACAAACAAATATGCAAATGAGAATCTATGTAGAATCTCATCTATTACTGTAAAATATTTTAATTTCATTCAGAATTTAATTAAATTAATTTAAAAAAAAATTCTAGGCATTATTCTTACCACTTTGCATATCTCAGTATAAATTAGTTTGTTTTGTAAACTGCCTTCTATGCCAATTGAATTCCGAACTGATAGTGACCTGAAGGCAGTGTATATATCCATTAGTCACGACTAAAATTCTGACAAGCTGTGCACAATTTCATGTGTACCAAGAGATGGTACAATCAATTGCCCCTTTCAGCTCAGTGAACAGTACACTTTGGGGTTGGTATAAATCCTTGTTTTGTTTTCACATGGTTAGCCCTGGATTCAGTGGTTTTAGTCTAAAACATTTATTTTTTACATCTTTTCCACCTTCTCAGTCAAATTTTAACACGATGAACCCTGTATTTAAAGCATAATTTTTTTTTTAATAAAAAATTCACTATCAAAAGCAAAATAAAAAACAAATGATATAAAACAATACAACTCAATTTTTTTCGCACAGTAATTGAAATCACTTTTAGTCTAGAGAATTTTTGGATCTGCTCCAACTCTGTCATGGTACACATTGTCTAAAAACAAGTTCAAAATATGGGGTTGGCAACTGAAAATAATTTTACTTGTTAATTACAAAGCAAATATCCTACACTTCAAGCACACAAATATTTCTGTTCATTGAGTTGCATGGCACAGGCTATTTAAAAATATTAATCAATCTTTTAATATTATATTATTATATTATATTATCATAACAAAATTTAAACTAGCATTGCCTCGTTTGGTCAGATTTCCTCCAGACACATTGTATTTGTCATTTGCTCTAAGGGGTGTGGGAAAATTAAAATGTGCACATAGCAAAAGTAATTTCTTAATTAAACTTACAACCACCTCTAGCTACATGTACTAAATAAAAGATATGCAAAAAACAAACTTGATTTTCACATACAGTAATTGAAATCACCTCTACCCCCTCAAAACAAAGAAATTACGCTTACTGTGCTCATATTATAATTACCTATTGCCCCTAACGTCACCACAGGTTATATTACATACTATCCCAGTATTACATTTAGTATTATTATATGTCAAATATGTAACTTTTTTTAATAAACCATGTTTAATATTTGGCGTAAGTAGATCTACTTCGTCGTCTGTCACCGCTTGAGTTTAATAAATCTGCGTTAACGCTAAGGGAGATTGCATAAAAGCTGATTGAATTACACTACAACTACATTTAACAGCGTTTCTGAAATAATTAGCTACATTCTATCAAACTCAAAGTATTATTCAAGAAGAAATCAGAAATGAATGTACATGTACTGTATATCCACAAATTTATATACCGTATTTGCTCTATTAGTCGTGCATGTATTTAAGTAAATGACAGAAGTATGTCTGCAGTCAAAATAAGTCTGATTTTTATATCCAACATACAATTAATGTTATTTTTTGGTTTATGTGTACTTCCACTAGAAATGTGCATTTATTATGGTATGAGTAAAAGCAGTACGCTTCTCGTACATTTTTTACACCAAATGTAAGAACCGCGGCTAAAAGATGGCTGTCATATTTCGAGTCAACTGAGCATACAACACTATTATACATGTAGAAGAGAAATTCCCACTGCACAATAAAATAGAAACTCACTTTTTGAAAATTAATAAAAGCACATATCTATTTTATATACATGTACATGTAGTAGTGGTTGAGACACGAGTGTATGGACAAAATAAATCAAATTTTAGTTATTCCACATAAAATTTAAGCAATTTTTGGCTAATGGACATACATGTATATGCTTCTTTTGGAGATGGACATCGAATAGAGCAAATGCGCTATTAGGATTTGTATGTACTTATGTACATAGAAAAATGTATATACTCGTACACATTTTTCAGCTATAGCAAAATTTCAAAGATGTGATGTAAATATACACTAAAAACCAAGATGAAATAAGATTGACTATTTTGTTTACGTTTTTTTTGAAAACTGACCTATGACCCCACAATAGTTTTGTTTTCATGTTGTTAATGTCAGACTGGTAAAAAGTAAGTAGAAGACAACATTTTATTTTCAATTCTATTCACTGTGTAAAAATAACACAATACACAAATCAAAGTCCCATTGTACAAAAGATAATACAAGTTACAGTTTAATTTATAGTTTAATTCAAACTACTACATTTGCTTCTATTGTTTCCACTGTTTTCGTACAAGGAAGTACCACACACCAATGATGTTAACTATCATGATCATGAGGTTAATATAGAAATAAGTAGGCAAAAAGAAATACTAAAGTTTGAATCTAGATTGAAAATAGAAGGTGAAACATACAAACTAGCCAGTCAATTTTCGGGACAGCAGGCTTTTGAAAACACTGTGTACAGTCACAGGGCTTCTGCTATGCTTAGTAGTAATCAAATTATTTTCAGCCCAAATCTATCCTTGACTTCAGGCAGTTGCTTATGAACCCAACTCAACTAAACCGGGAAAACAAAATCAACAAATTATTATTTGAAGTCTATATGGAGCTAAGAAACAAAATTCTTTGATGTCTGTGCAAAGGTTTCAATATGAATGCTCAGCCCATACAATACTTCACATTTGGCACAGCACACTTTTTGTTGAAAGGACAGGATTGGTCTCATCTCATCTCATCTCATCAACTTCATCATCTTAGTTTCCTAGTACAGTGAATTTCATAAAGCCATGAATGTTTATATAAAATATTTATAAACGTTTTATAAATTTCAAATAACGATTGACAACAACTTGACCAAAGAAATTAAATGTAATTTAATGTAATCTTCTCCATGTTTGGAAATTGGTTATTGGCTGAGAATATTGAAGTTTCACTCATTTTTGACAAGTGGAATGTAAAATATAGAAGAAAAAAAAGGTATATTCGTTGGATTTTATTTTTACTGAATCATTCCTTTAAGCGAAAATTAATTCCTGCGAAAATAAAGTATTTTACATTTTTCAAGTAGGTCAGCGTTTAATCATGTATACATAAAAACTAACACAATTACAGTACTTACTGGGTACATAAGAAAGCAAAAAAAAACTGGTCATAATATGACACACTTAAACATAAAAGGAGAGCTACCTGCCATTCTGTAGCTTTTTTAATTTTGCTGTACTAATCGTAGTCCTATAAGTCATAGCACTTGTTTATGTTCTACATGTGTGCGCGGTGACTGTGTTGATCAGTGAGCGACCTTTGTTGTCACACTTTCACATGCTGGTTGACAAAAAAGTAAACATACGATGTCACAGTGCGATGGCCTATTGCAATTGGATACACGCGGGTAATGATAGTCATCTGATTCGTGATCCTTTATCTGGTCGAAAACTTTTAAAGCTTGGACGTCGATCGGCTTGTTGATTCCCTGTCATTTTCACTAATGGACTATTTATCGTTCACAGTGAGATCCCCAGTTATGTGTGAAATCGAATGTGAAAACAAGACAAACTAAGGTTGTAACATTGCATGGTATTCAATGTGAAAAAGTGTGTCTTTCACACAGTACCACAAGATCTCACAGTGAAAAGAAAATAACCTATTGTTCCTATGTTTTTAAATATCATACAACTAAAATTCTCTTCATTTCTGAGTGATTCAAAAATTTTTGTGAATTCATAGTCTAGCTTACGACCTTGTTAGTGTATATGGTTGTGGTTGGTGAATCAATTTATGTTTTACCCTTTGTGTTTGTTGACATTGAATAGATGTCATTTTCACAAAATATTAATCGTCATGTAATAAATTCCTTCAATCTGGCAATCAGACACAATATTTTTGTTTTCTTGAATGCAGTGTAATGACAAGAAATTATTTCCCTGGATGTTTTAATGTGTATATGTATGTACGGCAAATTCTAAACGCTGTTTGGAGGCAAATCATAGGGGTTAAAACAAATATCATGGCCAGACTAATCTTGTATACAAGATGTTCATCTTATGTAAAGAGTGATTATCGGCGAGTGTTTATCACACGAAAGAATGAAAGGCCACCGTTCATCCTTAGGTTTGTAAAGTTTTATAACCATGCTTGACCACTGCAATGCCTTGCATGAACATTCAAGAACTATAAAGTGTACTGTGATAATATTTAATTACTATGGAATACTTTATTTTCGCTGGAATAAATTTTCGCTGAAAAGACTTTTTGTGCGTTTTGTATGGAATTTATTTTTACTGATTTTTGATGAGTTTAATTTTAAATATATATTCGCTGGATTTTATTTTCACGGAAACATCCCTTCAGTGAAAATAGCGAAAATAAATTCCAAGCGAAAATAAAGTATTCTACAGTACCAGGGTCCATAGCACCAAGAGCCAAATGATTTCCAAGATTTTTCCAGACCTTTCTCACATTTTTCCAAGATATTTTGACCCTTAATTCAGGCCAACATTCAGTTCTGAGGATATTTTAGTTCCCTAGAGAAAACGGGCCTTTCTAAAATGATTTAATAACTATGAAGACATTTCAAAGATTTTTATATTTTTCTTGAAATTTAAAGACAACTCAAAGACTTTCCAGACCACAAAAAATCCAAAGACTTTCAAAAAGATTTTCCCAACGCTATGGACCCTGATTACTTTAATTAATACATAACGCACATGCAAAGTAAACATCGTTGAACTGGCTACATCTCACACTCTCCATAGTGAACACGGAAATGCTTTTATGTGAGAAAACAACTACACATGTATTAGTGTAATCAAAGACAGTATCTTTTTCTAGTGTTTTTGGTGTAATGCAAACTATTAAATTGAATACCATTTAAAATGGTCGGTATAAAATGTCGTTCTCTACAAACCCAGAATTTTGAAAAAATTAAAATGTTTTGTTTTTTCAATTATATTTCAATTTTTTTTTTTACTTTTTCTCATATATTCTATCTCATATATTTTATTACACTGTATTGCTGATACATTACACGAATAAATCTCTAGGTGAACAATGAAAAAAATTCTAAATATTTGTTGCAAAATTGTTTTGATCATTTGTAAATGAAAGTTCAGAGTTACAATTTGCAATGCAACCATCAGGCAACGGAAGTTCATTGGTGGCGGCGTTGTTGTTGTTCGCCTATCGTGACCGGTTGGCACTCGCTTTGACCGAGGTCCATTGCTTCATCTCAACCAATATTGTACAAAAGAGGCAAATTTGTCGAACGCTTCTATCAACTATTCAGCGAACGGTTTGAACAGAAATAAATTAAGACTGAAATACCCTTGCGTCCCGGGTTCGGTTCGTACTACTGTAGTATACTACACACAGAGGAAATCGTGTAGTAAAAATGTGTGAATGAATATTTCAATAACACATTGAACAGATGATAAGCACGCCTATAAAAAAATACAACGCCCAGCGGTTTTAATATAAAACAAATAATCGATACGTACCTATGGATTTCTTATAAAAACAACTGGGTACAAATATTGAAGTAAAATCACGCAATACAATGCATTTTCCGATTACTGTACACGGAAATGATTCAAGGAGACAGCCCACTATAACAACCTAACAACACATCAGACAATATCTGTAGAGCTACGCGCCAGAACAGTAAACAATATAGTTTTCATATACGTGGCTCGATTAAACAAAGTAAAACTGCATTAATCTGCTATTTCTTTATATCAATTTGATTTATATTTTATTTTGAAAATATTTTTATAAATAATAAAACCCCTTATAAGTGTTTTGTACTCGTAAACAACCTGGCGGAGTAATACAATTGTTGTCATTACGTCTGGCGGGAGGAAAGACATCACATCAGACGTCATTCAGTCACCGGAAGTATTTGCATAGGTCAATTTTCATTGTGCTTCTTGTTTATGAAATTTGTCTTGTATTTAGATTTATCGAGTATTTTTGTAAAACGTGCGCCGTGGTCGTGTGATGTTCTTCCCCCGATTGTGTAATTATCTGTCATCCGTCTCTTTTTTTATCAGTTGTATAGCCAGGTGAGGGGTTAGTTAGTTAGTTGGGGGGGAGGGGGGTACTCACTTGGATTTTGGCAGGGAGATGCTTCGAAAAGATCGACGTTGAGGGCGTCTTTGCCAAAAATGCTTCCCCCCCAAAAAAAATCGTTTCTAACAGTCAACTCCATCGCAAGTTTGTTCGATGCTGATCTACTAGATTACTGTAAAAAAAATAATTTTCACTAGAATCTAATTCCAATATTTTAATGTTTCGGACAATTTCACTGGGTTTTAAGGGGCGCTGGTTGTCGTGTGTTCGAATTTCATGTAAATAAACAATGTATTTTACATGCGTTGTATATGTCGCTATAAGTCCCATATCGAACAGGACACGGCGCAACGACCATCGCCCTTTAAGTCCACAAAAGTGGTAGGAAAACAATTACGACTGTTATTTTACATGTTCATCATAAAATTATCGAAATACAAAATCACTTAATAATTAGTGCGTTTACAGTTATGATTAATTGCAAAGTACAAAAGACAATTTTGTTCTCCAAAAAATCCGGTGTTTATGCTGAAATTCATTTAATAACGGTCAAAGTCGCCATCTTTCTTTATTCTAGTACGAGACCCATATATCTCGCACATGCGTGGCGAGACGACTACCACCCTTTAATTAAATGCCAAAAACAATTGTATTGGGAGTTAAGCTTTTCGAAATTCAAAGTAATTTTTTACATCTTTCACAAAATAAACTTGAATAGTTTTTCCAATACATGTATTTTTTTCAAAACAATTTTAAGTCTTATACACATGGCCCAAAAGGAAAATACTGTAAAATACTTTATTTTCGTTTAGGATTAATTTTCGCTGAAGAAATAATTCGTTGAAAATAAAATCTAGCAAATATACCTTTTTTCCTATATTTTACAACTTGTCAAAAATACAAAACACCCAAAAAGTCTTTTCAGCGAAAATTAATTCCAGCTAAAATAAAGTATTCTACAGTAATAAACAAGGAAAATAATTTGTAAAACACTGCATGTACCACATGTTTTGGAATCAAGACTAATTTCCATACAACTAACTGACACCAAGATCGCTTTTATGCAAGTGAATCTATGTAGATAATGAACTTGTTTTCAAAATATTTGGGTTCAGTTTTGATGATTAGTCTTTTCTAGTTGTACCCTGTTAGTCTGAAATGCATGGAATTATATATTGTGAGTATTCTATATGGTGCCAATAAGAGGCATTGGTTTATAACAATAATTATATGTTTAAAGGGAAGCGTGCCACGTATGTGCGAGATATATGGGTCTTATATAAACAAAGATGGCGACTTTGACTGTTGGGCAGATCAACAAGTACAAACTGAGATGTTAGCAAGCTTTAATTAGGTATTTTTTAAGTGATTTGAGGTATCAAAGGAGTCACCGGTGGTAATTAATGTAAGTCGTGCCTAGGTCAAACCTCATACTTGTAATTTGCATTAGAAGAGCGCAATGGATTGTGGGAAAATCAATGTTTATCAGATAAGTAACATGGTCAGATTAATTTTATTATAAATTATAATAATAATTTCACTTTCAAAGTATTCAACAATATATCATAAAGAGTGGCATAAACATGCTTAACATCCCATTTGCCAATCAACCGTATTGGGGAGGTTCCATGAATATTTCTACCAGATTGAAACGAGTTGATCATATACCAAGTGAACATGGAATTGCCGGAAATGGATTCTTCCGTTCCCCATATGGAGGCCTCTAACCAGTGATATTTGTCACTATTTTACTATATTTTATTTTGGTAGTTTAAAGGGCGATGGTCGTTGCGCCAATTTGTGTTCGATATGGGACTCATGGCGACATACGCAATGCATGTAAAATACGTTGTTTGTTTACACGAAATTCGAATATGTGCTGTGCAACAACTACTGCCCTTTAGTGCTGGGTTAAGTTTTTTCTCTGTTTTGATAACGATAATCACTAGGGTTTGAATTCACGGCTTTATAAAGGAAAACAGTACATTCTCTCATTAAATATGAATATTCACTGGGTATCCATTCTGAGCATTTAACTAGCAGCGAAATACTAGTAAGCGAAAATAAATCCCAGCAGATAATAACTGAATCTATACAGTAGTTTGTTGAAACATGTGACATGTCAATTTATTGTACCAGTAAATGTTTTCACGAAGTAAAATTCACATTAATTTTGTTTTTTTTCAATGATTTTGTTTCAGGTGACAGTTCTGGAATGTCACTGTTGCCTGAAACAAAATCATTGAAAAAAAAAAATTAATGTGCATTTTTGGTGCATTTTTGCCAGAAGCCATATTCGTGTTTGGGAAT